CTTTTAGTATGTTTTTCATAATGTCGTGAAATGAATTTCAAGCTTACTTAACAATAAATCTAATAGCCCAAAAAACATGTAAATGCAATAACTTCCGAGCCCTACTTATTAGTTAATACTTTATATCAGCTTACTGCAGAACGTAATTTGAAGAATAGGTTTGTGATATACCTAAATAACTTAAAATTAATTTATTTTTAAAACGTCATTGTGTATAGTAATTTACACTATAGTAAAAAGTTGCAAGTCCTAACGAACAATATTTTTTGAAGTACAACAAAATAACTAAAATCTTTATGCACAAATGCATAATTCTAAATTTAAATTTATATGTTAACTGCTTAGTTAATATACGTTGAAAGAATATGGCTTAAAATATTTATATAAATATAATACTATTATATATTTCATACTCGTATTTTCACTGACGTAGTAGATTGCCGTTAAAAGGTTGTCCTTGCACCAAACCTGAACAAAATTGTTTTCGCTCTCTTCTCTCTCTCTCTCTCTCTCTCTTTCTCTCATTTCTCTCGCGTGATCATTCACTATAATATACAATACGTGTACCTATATCCACTGAAGAGATCGAACCATGTCCATATACGGTCGTTGGTGCCTAACTGAATGCAGTGACGTCACTGCTGTATCACGTGCCAAAGTGTCATCGTTGGTAATTATTACACCAGGATTGGATACTTCCGAATTCTTCAATTTGTTTATTTTACGTTTTCAAAAACTTGCATTTTGTTTACTATTTAAGTTCTCTGTGGCTTCACACATTTTTTTAACTGAGTCCTGATATGTTTTTGATTTAAATTATCAAGTAGGTAAATGTCTTTTTGAAGATAGATCTAAATTATTTATTCAAACGAGTAATTATAATTAAAAGTATATGATAATACGTTTAGGCATCTATCTAAAATTGTATTAGGTATTTAGGAATTCTATCTTTAGATATAAAATTAAATATGAAAAAATGTTTCAAAGTAAAAAATTATTTTCAAGTTATAAAGAATTAAATGCAGATTACTATGCTTGGTGATTCGCTATATACATAATACTGTGTTATATTTTACACGTTTTGTTTTGTTTTTGTTTCAGGGAGCTGTAGCTGATGAGGTGTATGAAGGAAGACCATGTCTGGAATGCCACGACAATTGCGCAGGATTCGCGCCACACCCATGGAGGTAAAAAATAATATGTTTTACATAATTTAACCAGGTCCACGTGTTTACTGCAACATGTATGATAAATGGTGTATATAAATTCTGGGTACATATACTGGGTTCCACCGAATGATAAATTAAATAGACATGATACAATATTAACGGATATGTTGACTATCCTCATTGTTTTACCTTAAAAAAATTAGAATAGCAGGTAACAATATTGACGGGAAAAAAAGAACTATGATGAATTATTACGGTCAAAGTAAATTGTTTATGTGTAAAACATGTGTTAAAATTTCAACCGATATTAAAGTATTGTTCTATGATGGTGTTATAAGTATTTTAGATTACTAATGTCCAATGACTAAGTGAGTCCGTCTGTTTGTTTAGTTTCATGTTATATCTATTTAATAATTTTATATAAATGTCTGATTAAAGTTATATTTTTGTAATTTAATAGTGAACTACAAATAGTAATATTATAGTTACAACTAAACTTTCTAATGTATTTTTGACCTTCTAAACGGTTTTCCGAATAGAAAAAAAATATTGAGAACTCAAAAAAACAATTATATCAACATATAGCTTCCGTATAATTGCTAGGTTTTCCAAAGTAACTTCGACACTTTTTACACTGGCTGTAAACAATTATTAATATAGATGTATAAAATAGTAGTTATGTCATATTTTTATTGAACTTTTTAATTTTATTATTATTGTTTATCATATAAAATTAATAGAAATTAAACGAAAAATCAAGATCAAACTTATTTCAATGAATCATATTATCACCGTTTTAATCTATTACATTAATGCTATGAAAACATAATATTATACAAAAATACATAATTCGATTAAAATGTAAACATCGGTAGGTAAGAAATTATTTTCAGTAACCGTTTTAATCATTTTAATAAAATAACGAATTGCACGTCCTTATCGATAAATGGTCAATGGCCATTTGATCGAATACACTTAGAGTAGATTTCATTAAATTTCATTAGAATAATTCCTTTTTTCTTTAATACACTTTGATTTTAAAATTATCGTATAATTATGTAGTTTAACTCTTGATTTAAAATATTACAAAAAATATATAATTGTATGTATTAGATGCCTATGGTATCTATGTATACTTGCAATCCTAATTCCATTTTATTTGTTCTAAAAATAATGAAAAACTTTGTCAGTCGTTTAGCTTTTTGTAAATCGTATGTGTTTCCATGACTATGTTTAGGCGTTATGACTTATGAGTACTGACTGTTTGGTTTTTTAAAATTTATCACACTCAATGTGTATAATATCATATTATATGTGATTAGTATATGACAGTTAAATGAAGAATTTCATTATTCACATCTTGCACGCTAAATGATGTCATACATTGTATATTGTTTATGAACTCCGTAAAAGGATGTAAACGTAACTAATATTTATGATAAATAATTTATCTATCATTTATACAAACATTAGACTGCGGGACTTTTTGATTTTTTCGTTAAGTTAAGCCTTTCAATTTTTATCAACACGAACCGTTTGAAATATGTCGTGTTCTATCAAATAAATACAATTTAAAGAATTAATTTACGAAATTGCCATGCGTCTATAGTCTATACAGCATTGTTCAGCTATTATTATATTTGCTATTAGTTAGTAAAACTGTACGACGGGCCTTATTGAACCATGACCACGGGCAATTGTAATGATGTTGAACAAGCGTTAACCAATGAACACGAAACTTACTGTCTTTGATCGTGTTTTCTTTCATTAAAAAAACTATCATGGAGTGTTATGATGATAATAAATAATAATTACATATTGCATTTAATTATATTTTACATGATGGTAAGGTGGTAGACAACGATTGTGGAGTTTTTGAAGCTCAGTCATGAGAGGGAGGGTGATGATTGAAGTATTATGAATTGATACTGAGAGTTTTGCTTTGAAGTATTATATTGATATTTTTAACGGTAATATTTAATTTTTATTTTATTTAAAGTAAATTTTATAATTTCATTATTATTTCTATTTACATACAATTAAAAGTCAAGGCCAACTTCCAAGGCGAGTAGTGTAAAATAATATTGCATGACTATAATGTATTAATATATTATTATATATTGTACAAATAAACTACAAAGATACCTATCTATTTAAGGTATCGTATACTATATAATTCATAAGCTATTAAGTGATATTTACCATGTTGTTATTAGTATATCACTAAGTAGACTATTGCCATACAAAAATCGTGCGTATACCTATGTTTAGTTGTATTATAGCCGAAAATATCAGAGGTTGTGGGCTACAAGCTGATTTTTATTGCAACGCCTCTTTTAATACACCAGACTAGCATAATAATCTCGACGCTACACGTACGCGTTATAATTCTCCCTGTCGTATATTAGATACACATAGCATTCTAAATTTACGTTCAACATTTCCAATTCCTTTTTTGTTTTGTTTTTAATTTAAAATTAAAATAGTAAATTTAGTGTATAACAATTTTAAAGATAGTTGTTTTCTGTATTTTAATTTTTAGAGTGTGTTATAATTGTTTATGTAAATACAATAGGTATATCAATTTGAGAGTACTTAATACTGTTATAATTAGACAAAAATAATTTTACCTTCTATTTAATCGTTTATTGAATAAGCCATTTATATTATCGTAATATTATATCGTATATATTTGCTATATTTGGCTCAATTATTTCTGAAACGTCTTGAACGGGTTTTCGCCAATCACTTGGTATCGAAACAGCTCATTATAGGAATATCTCATATAGTTGAGGAAAAAATGATAACTTGATGTGTGGGTGTGATGGGTGTAATAAACCAAAATTAACTTAACAGTTAACGTAAATGGTATAATAACATTATGTGAAGAATTATGATTGTGGCGTTTCAATCAAACGCTCAACTGGTGGACTGACGACGTCTGTGCCTCGTTCATGTACGTTTATATAATATAATATAACTTCAAATAACATTCAGTGGATTTTGCATACATTCAAAAATAAAATTCCGTTGGCTTAAATATGTCTTGCCCGAGTGTTTGTATTAAAATAAAATTAAAATAACAGCAATTTTAGAAATAGTGACACGAATCGTTGGCAGGTGCGCAGCGTCCCTCTGTTTATAATACAATAATATATATAATTTAACGCTATACGATGTAATATTATTATTATTACTGTCGTGTGCGGTGTGACGTACCTACCTCCGACAAAATATTGTTATTAATTATTATTATTGCTACCATCATCGTTCGGTGTGTTGGCCGTCGGCCACGTGCCGCGCAAACGGCTCAACGGCTTGGAGCGAATTCGCGCGCTCCGACTGCACCGGAAGCGCGCCGCCTCCTCCTCGGCTTGCCCAAGTGGTTTACGTGCACTTCCGGTCGCATCCGGTATCGTAAATAACCGTTTACGGAACTGTTTTCGCCGCCCAGCAATTATCCGCGTGTACACGCGCACAGCCGCACACGCACAATATGCATGTACATACCTAACAAGATGTAGAAAACCTGTGCCGACCACAACAACGGCGGCAGCGCAGGCTGTTTTATTTTATATTTCATGTTGGTCGCGTTTGCAGTTGGCACTCGGCGTCGACGGCGAGCGCGTACAAAAATAAACGACGGTGGCTTGGCCGAACCAAGCTGACGCGGTAAATAATATCATATAATAGTCCGGTGCCGCCGCTATACGTATGTTCGAAGCAATATATTATTATTATTATTATTATTGATATAAATTATAACGTACATACCTATTACCTATATAGTAATATAAGTAATCATGGAACATTATATTGTATTACTTGAGGTCGCGAAGTTCTAATAGTGATAGTGCGCCGTGATGTGTTTTGACAACTCTCTGCTGCAATTTACCTACCGCTGCTGCCGCTGTGTATAAATATTGTCTCTTTTCGTCTTCATCGTCACCACTGTGTAATGTGACAATATGAGTTGTATACATCTTGGTGTATCGATTACATAACGTTATTATAATATTAGTCAGCCAACAGGTAAGACGACCGATCATTATCCCTTCTCCCGGCTATGACCACCACAAATCTCTCATTTGTTTGTTTTTCACGAATATGACTCATTGAACGTTTTCAGACAACATTCTATCTGTAAATAATATTTAAATTAAGTTCATACCTCAACCCATTTGACTCGATTTTTGACGAAATGAGTCTATAATGTTTACCATTTTAGTAAATGCAACAGTTATCAATAAAATAATAAATGTATTTTCGATTTGTTCTAGCCGGTAATTAGTGTTGGCTTCATTGTTGATTTTTTTTTTAATTTTGAAACTTTTTCCTAACTATATACAACGTGTGAAGATTTTAACAGGTCTATTAGTTATTGATTCGAAATTGCTAAGTAAAATTATTACAGTACGATTTCGGATATTTCTAGTATTTACTGGAAGGTCAACCTGAGACAATCGCAAAAAGTCCACGAGATTTCAACATAGTTAATTTTCTATATACTTATCTAAAATAATCCAATAATAAATTTTACATCAATATAGAAATCCGTAAAGCTGTTTTTCTTTTTCGTATTAACGTGGCAACCTCTAGTGGGCACTAGACAAATTCTACACAAATTTATAGATATCAATCGGTATAAGCTGCAGTAGGTACGTTCTTGTAATTCTATAGTCTCAACAAAGTCTACGATATATTACTATCTATATTATTTAACGGATACCTACAAGACGCTTTACGCTGTGAAACGTGTATAAATTGTGAGCTTATAACTTATGTATACTATATTCATAAATCATAATAATAGTAATATTATAATTGAATATTGAACCAAGCCCTATATATTATAGCGTTTCAAATTTTTATGCGAAGTTTATGACCTGAGAATGAACGAAATGGCAGTAAAACATTATACGACCTCGAGTATATTATGTATAACATTATAATTATTATATTATAATATAATATTATGAAAATAAAATATAAAATGCGTCACGTATGGTCATTATACATAGTGTACTCGTTGAACAATACAAAATAAAAAACATCGATACCTACTACTACAGAACATGTCTACATCTATGTCAGTGGCGTAACTAAGAAAACGGCTTAGTCCTCCCCTCTTCCATCAATGAAATAGTTAACCGAAATACTTTTTTTTTTTGTTATTTTCATATTAAAGATAAATACATATGTATATTACTAATTAATGTAAAAAAAAAACTGGTTAGAAAGCAATGATTAGTGTATAATAGCATTTTGGGTATACAGTTTCCATGATTGGTCATCTTCTGAAAGTACCGCAAACAGAAAATAATAAATGCGTCGTTATAAAACCAATATATTTTTCGCTTTACCCTAAAATAAAATATAAAATCTAATGGTATGTGTAGGTGAGGATGGAACCATAAAATGAATTTAAAGTTAACAGGGATGGTCATACAAAATGTTAACCCTAGATAAGTCTATAGCTCTAACGTCCAAATAATATGATAATATTTTAGGAATAAAAAATTTGAATAATAACTCAAGCTGCGTAGTATCCAGAGTTTGATTAAGGACAAGTATGTTAATAGTATCACTATTTATAGAAATCATTTTTTGAATTGTTTTAACACGACTAGTGATACGTTTAAATAATGACGGCTATCCTTCCAACGAGTCACATTAATAAACTTGTCGAATTTTTTTCTTATTAGTTAACAATTTTAATATTTCTTTGTATTTCATCAAATATTTAAATTTGACACAAATTTGACAAATTCATTTTTATGAATACGTTTTTAATTGCACATAAACAAGGTCTAACTTCCATCGTCGTATCGTGATGCCTACACGCAATTTAGTTTGCAATATTATAATGTGTAGCTTTGTATATACGATTGAAATTGTAAACAACGAGTTCAAAATTATAATACGTTTTGGCGCTATTGGATTTAAAAATTATATTAAACACTACGTATACATATAATATTCAACAGATATGTCTTAATTTAGATTTGTGTTTGTGCTATTATTTTATTTCATAGTTTATTTTATACATGCGACGACGAGTGATGTAGGCCATAGACGTGCGCGGTTCATACGATTTCAAATAAAGCGACGAAGACAAAACAAAGCGCGTGTCCGAGTAATAGAATAACAAAATCATTGTGATCCGTCCTTCAGGAGTGTTGTATTGATTAAATGTGGTTCATCGAGGTGTTGTTATATGCAGAGAAAAACCGGCGAGTCGGGTTTTTATCGTATTCAATCGAGTCATTTTGAAATAACGTCGAAAGCTAAATCTAATTGCGACGGTCAACCTCATACTGTATCATTATATGTATAATATATTAGAAAAACTTACTGTAAGTTAGCGAGTGTAAGCTGTATAATAATATTATACTTATGTTTCATCCTGAAGCGATCGTTGAAAAAAGTTCTTTTATCTATATGTGCAGTTATATATCGTATAATATCTATATTTTACATCACAATCTCTGAAGTCACATCAACACGTCTAGTAATAATACCATATATACTATATTATAGTTATAATATATTATACAAACAAAATTCACGAAACCGATATGGTGTGATAGTCTACAATATTGAAAATCAATCATACATTATGTAATAATATATAGTATATCTTCATTTTATACTATCTGATTATATTATCACTGAACAGTCATTTTCTCGATAATTGCATGGTTTTTAAAATAATTGTGTTTTTACTATCTAAGTTCGAAATAATTGTAACTTACTGGAAAGATCCTAATGATCCTATATTGAATGGATATTTGATTTTTATACTTTGAAATTATGAAAAATATAATACTCAGAATTCAGAATTTCAAATTAAAAAAAGTGTGATGTGCCATAAAAAAAAAAAAAAATGTAAAATATTAGGTAATAAACTAATAAACAATAATATTGAAAAAAGATATTTAGATATTTATATATTTTTTTTTATTTTTTATATTTTTATATTTTTAGATGATTAAATCGATTTTGTTTTTCAAATATTTTGTATTTGAATGATTAATTAAAACAACAATTTACTGAGGAAATTACTATATGATATAGTGATGAAATAATCAACATGTCCCATATTGTAAACTAAAGAGAATAAAAAAAACTGGGTATTGCAGCACATATTAAAAGTTCATATACTATGAATTAAAAAAAAAAAAATTTGAGGAACATCACGACATTTTATTATACTAGCTATAAACCATATAATGAGATTTTATTAGTTTCTACCATTCCGGTCAAAAGCCTTTCGCAATTATTTTATACTATGGATTTTACGTATTTATAATATTTATAATATTATAACGGTTAACCCGCGAAAATACAAACAACTGTTGGACTTTACATTTTTTTTAAATATATATATATATTTATATATTTTATTCATTTTAAAAACAAACCAATATAAAATAATACTAATAACAATACAAATGATTAACAATGCAGGTGATTAAAAATTTACATACATATAATTATGGGTATGCAGTATGCACACCACGCATAGTCCAGTACACACACGTACCTGCAGTATTTATTATATTATAAAAGTATAAAAATATAGTATGATTTTTTTCTAGTAAAATTAGATTCTACGCATGCTGTTGGGGGAAGAACGGGAAATAACGTATTTATAATATATTAAAATAATCGTACTATATTATGTATTATAATCGGGCGACGACGACGGTGTACGGTGTAGCAATACGACAACGCTATAATGATAATATAGTATTATGTTTATAATAATATGTTATCATTGTCGTCGTTGTCGGTACTACCGCACACCGGAAATCGGATGCCCCAACGGCGTGGAGGGTCGCCGGCTTAGCGGACGCCGATTCAGAAGTCGAACGCGTCATTGCTGGGCTTCCTGTAGCCCGTGTTTCCGCTGTCAGACCGGCTAACCACCGCGTTGAAACCTGTTTCCGGATCAGCGGTGTACTCGACCAGCCTCATGGCGCCATCAGGTTCCAGAACACTGTATGCTCCCTTGACCACGTCACCCTCTCGCGCTTCCCATTGGCTCTTCACGTCGTACGTTTCCGGATCGTGAACCGCGTAATCGAACTTGTATGCTTTGGGTGCCTGTCGTACAAACACACGAGTGTTGTTGTCGGTTATTTGAGTTATCTTCGCGACATTATAAAAAAATGTCCCGTCGTCATCATTGTTGTTATTATTATTATTATTATTATTATAGTATAATATATCATTATTACTTATCACATTCAACGGACATGGCGACGGGCTAAATAAGTTCGTTGGAGGCTAGTCCCCCTCCGAATTGCCTTTATCGTCGGGCGATTGGATGTTGGTGATAAATCGGACTAGAACCTAACTCGCACCGTTATCACAGTATGGTAAAATAACGAGAATGTCCGATGGTGTGCGAATGTTTACTGGACCGTTGAAGTTAGTGATAACGGCGATAACAAAAAAAAAAAATGAGCGAGATGGCGTGTACAATATATCGTATTATATTCCAGGCGGTTACGGCCGGTATACGATTATAAATATTATTATTCTCCGACCAGACAATATTATTATTATTACTGCCGCAATAGCTATTTGCTGGCGTAGATTTATAATGCGACGACGGTATTGCTTAACCAATAGCACTTTACCAGCTGTTCCGGTCCGTTAAGAACACTGCGCACTTATTTATATGTTATCGTGTATGACATTGTTGTTGGTTATGTTTTGTATTATTTATCCGGCTGGGTGATCGTGTAATGTAATTTTTAGTCAATTTAACCGAAAAAGAGCTATCGTACAGGTCGTTGCCGCATGTAACCGATACGGTGATACCATAACAATACGTTGTAACGTCGTGTGTAAAAATGATATTGTATCGTATTCAATTGGTTATCGCGAACGAAAAACTGCAAACCGAGTATACCTGTTATTTGCAGAATAAACGTTGATATCAACTAAAACGTTTAGCGTGCTTACATCCTTTGTCACGTATTACAAATGCTGAAATGCACAATTGTCGACGGAGGATTGTTATTTGTCGTTTGGGTGGCAAATGCCGATAGAGCTCCAAACCACCAAATTAGGTTAACCTCGCCCTCACATGTAGATGTTTTTGGAGAAAATAATAGCAGTAATAATAATATAACCTTTTTACGTTGTAAATAGATGATAATATTTAAACGTACACGTCAGTAGGCTTAGATAGCTACCTAGTAAGGAACACCTTAATTAATAAAAAAAATATATATATAAAATACTGTTATGGTTTAAGAGATTTAGTTTTAACGTGAAAGAAGGTAGATCAATAATAACTTTCGCGTATCTATATCGTTCAACATTTTAAACACCTTACATACGGTGTCCAACTCAGTATCAAATTAAAAATTAAATTTCGCAGGTATTTAAAGTTTATGATGTCTTTTGAAATGAGATATGATTATCAGTCATGACAGTTTTGGGCGGGTATACCTAAAGAAATACGGATTCAAGTTCCATTTTTGAAATGTGGTCACATTAACAATCGCGTTTCGAATAATTAAAATAAATTTTAAAAAATTGTCTACTCACGTAATTTTCGGCTGACTCTGAGCTCTGGGATCGAGGTCCTCCTTCGACAAAAATCGGTATGGCCATGGTACATGCCGTCATCACGCTCAGCGCAGCTATTATCTAAAAAAACACACACGTATGTCGCAGATAAACGACAGTATTAGTAAAAAAATTTGACGTGTGAATCAAACAATGGAAGACGACGAGAAACCAATACAATATTACACATAACAATTTGGGCTCAGGACTTTTTAACGTTAAGCGTTTTTAAAGACATTATTTAAATATGTTTACTTAAAAAGAGTAAAATATTCATTTAAATAATATTATTATGAATAGTATGAAATAATGAAAATTGTAAAAATATGTAAAATATGGTTTTTAATATTTTTTATTTTTAAGTAGCAGAGAAAATATAAAATATAAAATATTTTTTTTAACATTCAAAAAAATACATGTTTTTTATGTAAACATTTTTTAAGCAAATTTCAAAAATATATAAAATTGAAATATCGTGCATCGAAAAAATATAAATATTAGTTTGATGGTTTTATTCAAATTTCTGACTTGTTTTATGGACTATTTAAAATATTTTAAAAGTTATAACACGCGCAGTAAAGCAAACAAATTTTACAAAAAAAAAAAAAAAAGTAATATGGAAAAAAATAATATTTTTAAATCCGAAATTCAAACATCTTGAAAAACATTAGTATTAAATCCAGGATCTTTGAATATGCTATATATAGAGACTTTCAATAAAAATAGTATTTAGTTTATTGAGTTAAGAGTACTGATATTACAAATTATGATAAAAGTTTACTCACTTGATACGACCTCATGTTGTAGATGTGATGATAGTGGATGGACGATGGGTTTCACTTTCGTGTGTTATATTCGTAATAAAATTTATAGTAAAATACGTTAGTATAATATATGCGATATATTATTATTACTATATTTTATCGTTTTGAATAATAGTCGTCGAAACCCGAACTATAGAACACTGATATCATACAAGTCCAAACCTGAGATTTTATACATTTTTCTAACGTCCCCCACATCGTAGGTCTCTATACCACCACCGTCACAACTGGTCATTTCCCGAGACACATTTTCCCGAATTGGACACGCGACACCGACGACGTAATCTGTTACCGCTGGGGAAACAGGGAGACGGTGGTAGGACACTCGAATGCCAAGGTCGGCATGTGAGCGATTTTCACATAGCCACAGCGTTTTCTCGCCGGAAATGTGGGTCAACGTGTTGTGGCTACAGTTACACCAGCGAAAATACTTAATATTATAAAGCTGAAAAGTTTGTATACTTGGATGCATTAATATCAGAAACTACTGGATCGATTTCAATAAAATGTATATCAATAGATTTCTCAAGGCTTGGGTCAGTGGTGTTTTATGATTATTATTTCTACCTCTACAGGTTGTTATAGAGCGGCTCACACGTAATTCTTATTTTAGTTTACAAAAATCGAATTACTAGTTAATTGAGCTAAATTAAAACCGAGACACATCATCGTATTATATTATGTTTGTTAATTTTGAGTAAAATAATACACAAAAGTATAAATGTTTATAAACCTAAAATCTGAACCAAAAATAATATATACCTACCTAGGATTGTATAATTTGTATTGTACTTACATAGTATATTATGACTGATAATAATTAATCATTCCTGTATATTTAATACAAACATAGACGTTATCCTGATTAAAATTTAAAATTTGGGAACTTAAATACAATTAAACAATTAAATTTAAAAACAGTACCTATTGAGGTTTGTGTATTCTTGGCGAATCCGACTTTCAAGTTCACGGTGTTCTGAAAATAAACAATATAATAGCTGAACTAACAAAAATGTTTATATTCTTGGTATTTTATTTTCAGATATTTGTTTACCTGCAGATTTTTTTCATCTATTTGTTCGTATATTCTATATTATGTCTCCAGATATTTTTTCATGGATCTTGTGGATGGTTTTTTTTTTTTTTTATCAATTCAGACAGATGCTGCACCATTATTTGAAGTGCAAAGATCATAACTATTATTTGTTCAGGCGCATGCAAGCCCATTTCCTATGCTAATAAACACCGAATAAATGGTTCACTGACAAGGCTATGTTAAAAATTACTCATCCGATGAATACATTTTTTAATGGATGAAGTAAAATTATACAGCATTCTTGAGTGTTAAAAATTGTAGATATATATGGTATTATGTAAAAAAAAAAATATATGATTTTATTGGAATTTAATTTATTTGATTTATGCAAAGTTTTATTCATATTTTGATTGTTAACATTATTTTATCCACAGTATGTTATTGGTTTGAATGATTTTTTCAAACGTTTTTTAAAAAATTAATCTTTTTACGTGTATTATGAAAAACATACATTATAATAGAGTGTAACCATAATAAATTCAACAATACTTTTAAAATATATTTTTATTTGTAATATCTTTTTATTTATTGAAATTTTGGTGTTAAACTTTCAATACATACTAAACTTGATTTTTTATCACTGCTTATTCATAAACACTAAGCGTATATAAATGTAAGCAAAGCTTACGATTAATTTATTTCATTACATTTTATCATCGTAAATGAATTCATTAAAATCTTGCATATATTTATATATTTATGTAATATTTGTGCTAAATCTTAAAAAACTAATGTGAACCAAGTAATACAATATTGATAATAACTAACTAAACTGCAGTTAATTTAATATATACAGTCATGAAAATATATTTTTATAACATTTTACATTATGTATTTTAGATATAACAGTGCAGTTATGCAACTTTGACGGCTCTCAAACTATATGGATATTTAATATGATCGATCTTATAATTTTTCTCAACGACCGTTGTAAAAAAAAGAAAGTAAATTGGCGACTTATTTAGTACCTATATTATTACATTTTATCACTGTAATAATGGTGGGGAGGCATTTCCTCATACTTGCCTATAAATCTGATTCTGTGCGTCATCGATATAATATTCTTTATACGTAAACGGGGATCCGTGTAGTTTTCATTGTGGCGAGAAATTTGTTGCCGTCCGCTGTTGTATTATATATGACTATATATGAGTACAGCCGATCGTTTGTTACGCGATTTAAATTTTTTATTGTGTTTGTTAAAAAATTTTTACCGCGCTAAAAATTGTTTCACGCGATAATGTTGTAAAAAGACTCACATTCCATTGTGTACGCGCTGGTACACCTTTATTATTCCGATAAAAAGTTTTTAATACACTTAACCAACACACTCGATTTTAGTTATTGTCGTCGATTATATTTATTTTATGTCCATTATTAAAATTCACTCTTCAATGATAATGTTTTGCAGTCTGCACGTTTGATCATAATACGGCAAAATACAAATATACAACTGAACGCGCAATCAATTTTCTTTATAGGCAATCGTTTCTCGAAAGTTATTAATTACTGCTTTTAAATTAAACTGCTAACATTTCCATACCGTAACGTTAGTACTCTTAATATATTCCATTTGTATCGCACGTACATTCACACATAAATATGCGTAAAACTTTGATTTTAATGAATAGTAATATATTGTTTTTAAAATATTGCATATACTCTTTATAGTATAAAATAATTTAAGGTACTTAACGTTGACAAATTTTGTAAAAAACAATATTTTTAAGAAAAATTTTTATTTTTTAAGTTTAATATCAGTTTATTTATAATTTATATATTAAAAGTATAATATTATAACAATAAAAGTAGAATATATAATTTAACGATGAAAGTGTTTAAGGGGGAAATCACACAATAGTTTTTTATAAATATTGTCTTGATCATAGATCAAATTGTCAAAAGTTTCTCGTCCGGTTTGAAAAAAAAAATAAACAAAAATAAACTATTTTACTGTAATAGATGCACCATATTTTAGTTTAAAGTTTAAACCGTCTTGGGTTGCCTGGTAGCGATCTTGATGGCAATGTATTGGTGAAGTGTTTCAAAGCTACAGAACTTTTAAGATCAAATTCCTTTTGTCTTTTGATGATTGGTGAAGGTGGGAGTTTAGCTTATTTATGTTCATATAAATGGAGCTTGATATAGGTTCTTAATTAAAAGAGCTGTAATGTTTAAATTTAAATTTATGGAAACTAATATATTATTTGTACATATTTGTACACATATTATGTATTTTAGGATTCAATGTTTATGTATTTTTTAAGTACTGCTGCATATTAAATGTCTATTGTAAATATTAACATTAAAATTTCAAAGAAGGTATCCAAAAATTGATCTATAGGGAGAATGTATTATATTGAATTCATTATTTATAATCAAAATAATAATATTTTGAATATTCAAAGCGACAGTTGTTGAACTAAAATCCGGAAATCAATTTAATTTAGGGACATATTATAATGATATTAGACGTATAGCGTTACATAATTATAAGTATATGTTTAAGTGCGTTACACCCGTGTAATAATTCCTGGGGAAAACTTAAAAAAAAAAAATTACGATCGTTATATTATAAAATCAACAAAGTATACGGTCTGATACTTTCTGTAAAATGTTATTCGTTCTGGTATGCGGGAAGGTCAAGAACTGACGTGACAAACAACGGTGAAGAATTGCATGAATAAAATATACTAAGCGTAGGATACTGGATAACGTAGAGCACGACTGCTGGGCCGGCGAACCTAAACGTGCTAACTATTCTACTCTTATATTAATATTATTTTGATATTAAAGGTACATTATGCTTACCATTATATTGTGAAATATAAAGTTAAATATTATTTATACTGTTTTTAAAAGTATGATTAGTCATAGCAAAGAGCTTTTCTCTACAGTATCCGATTATGTAAATATAATGTTTATTTATTTCGATATGATATTTCAAACTTAAAGAGTGATTAAAAAATGTACTCGATTTAAAACGCCACGTAGATACAAAGTTATTTTATTTCATTTATTGTTTTTTATATTATACCTATTTTAATATGTAGCTTAATTAAGCTTAAACACACACGTAATTTTTTTATTTGATGAGTGTCTTATACAGTACTTATAGGGTCTTTCCAAATTATAGGAGACAAGAGTTATAAGGATTATGTAGAATTGTATGCATTTCCCATTATTTTCGTTACACACAATTTGAAAGAATCTGTCTAATATGTCTGAAATACATTTGTTTCATACCTTACTTATATTGTATTGTGCAAATGTGCACATGTATATTTTAGCTACCGTGAACATAAAAAACAAATATTAATAAATTATGTTACAATATATAATTATAAATATAAATGTTAAATTATAAATAGTATATAATAGGTAGGTACGTTATTATTCTCGCCGAATATTAAACGTTAAAGTGCTATACAATTATATTTATTTTATTTCTATTAAAACTTGAAAATTTTTTTTAATATTATAGTTTATAATGCGATAATAATTTAGTCTTTCTAACATTTTTCGTCGTTATATACGTGAATATAACGTAAATATACGTTATTTACGTGTGTTCTATATAATTTTTAATTTATACGTTAGTAGTTATTATATTGTTTATGTCGTCGTGAAAATTAAATTACATACTTAAAGAAGAGTATTTTTCATCACAAATCAAATTGTCGTATAATAAAAATATGTTTGTTGTGGCGATGTTAATGTGTCTTTTCTCAATAATCAAAAAACTTGTAAGTTGTATTTCTATCTTAAAATATTAAACGGTTGACTGATTAATGAATAATATACAGTGCGTAAATGTATAATATTATATTGTATCATAATGACTTTACAAGAAGTCTAACACTGGTGTTTAGGTTTGTTA